AGGCTCTGAGCTGTCAGCACAGAGCCCGACGTGGGGCCCGAACTGGTGAACTGTGAGATCATGACCCGAGCTGAAGTCGGACACTTAACCAACTAAGCCACCCAGGCGCCCCTAATTTTATTGGCTTATAATAAGAGAATGTGGCCTGTAAAATCTCTACTTTTTAAACTTTTAATTTTATGGCCAACTACATAGTCACTTTTTTTTTTTTTTTACTGTTCCATGGTCATTTGGGGGGAAAAGTATATTCTTTAGTCAAATCTCAATAATAAATTGTGCTTATTGGTTCTGCTACTTTATTCCTCAATGTCTTCACTTATTTTTGGTCCATTAGTACAAAGGTACTCAAAGTGTGGTCCACAGACAATGCTGATCCACACACTATGTTAACAATTCATGACAATGTCAAATGTAGAAATGGAGGACACAGAAACTTTTACAGCAAATTGACACTGTTGTGACATCCAAGTGCACTTGTCTCCCTGAACAGGGTATAGTCCACTTTGGGTGTTTTTCAACTTACATTATGAGCTGCATATATCATGGGTTGCATACTTGTCATGTGTAGTAGGACCACATCACAATTTGTAATATTTTTAAGTTAGGTACCCATAACTCAAAAATGTATAAAATACAGAATTCGTTTTTTTCACTGAAAGATATTTTAACTGCACAGATAAATGGAAATCATGAGTTTGCTGAAATTTCTTTTAAAATCCCTTCCTCTATTCCTTGTCAACTTAGCTCTGTAGACCAGGTTCTCTACAATACAGAACAATTTAGATTCAATTATCCTCTAGTAGTAATGCTGTAGTCAATCTAACCTAGATTAGACAAATTAACAAGAAGCAATTTCGTTGCATAAAAAACTTTAATATTGATACACGTCATGTGTTCATACAGGAGTTTCATATAGGGAATCACTATTTCACTCATAACTTTTTTAGTTAGGAGTGTTGAATGAGAAAAAACTACAAGCATAATAGCAACACTCTTAATTTCTATATACACACTTTCAATGAAAAGATACAGCTTCAAAATGTTTTTTCTTTTTGTAGTTTTGTCTGATTACATTTAATAAAGTGCAATTTTATACTTGTTAAATATAATAATAACAAGTACAATTATTTTGTGTCTTTTTATGTGCCATTTAACCCAAATCTCTGGCTTTCAGTGGGAAAGTTGAGTCCCTTCACATTTAGTAGAATTAACCTCTATACAAGATTTTATTCCTTCCTCCTTACTCTATGTTTATCATTACTTACTTTACAATGTTGTTTCCTGTACCTTCTATTTGTTAGCTTGGTCTAGTTCACATTCATTCCATTTGGAAGTTTGGAAGTTTTACTGGATTTTCCCATTTTGTAGTCCTTTTCCTTGTTCTCTTAATCAGACATAGAAGATCTATATATAAGATATCAACTATTTCCTCCACCTAGGATATATTTCTTTTTTTTTTTTTTTTTAATTTTTTTTTTTTTTCAACGTTTATTTATTTTTGGGACAGAGAGAGACAGAGCATGAACGGGGGAGGGGCAGAGAGAGAGGGAGACACAGAATCGGAAACAGGCTCCAGGCTCCGAGCCATCAGCCCAGAGCCTGATGCGAGCCTGACGCGGGGCTCGAACTCACGGACCGCGAGATCGTGACCTGGCTGAAGTCGGACGCTTAACCGACTGCGCCACCCAGGCGCCCCTTATATTTCTTAGCTGCATATTAATTTTATATCAAGATCTCTTTACCACGTAATAATGTGGCTACAACATACCAATTGCTACAACAAAAGTTTAGCAAAATACCAAAATGGTGAAGACTCTAAATGAAACATACCTCCAGGAGCTAAGGAACCAGGGCCAGGTCCTGTTACAGTTGCTGGTATTTGCCCTGGTGCTGGAACTCCAGCCTGCATAGAAGCTTGCATCAGAGGAGGTGCACCGTTGACATGCATTCCACCCTGATCAAAATTAAAAACAGAGTATGTACATGCCTCTGGACACACACATGATGAGCCTGGTTATATAGAACACAATTAAGATGGACCACATTCTAAAAGCAGAGACTGGGGTGTCTGGGTGGCTCAGTCAGTTAAGCTTCTGACTCTTGATTTCAACTTAGGTCATGATCTCATGATTGGTGAGCTCAAGCTCCACCTCAGGCTCCACGCTGACAGTGCAGAGCCTGCTTGGGATAGTCTCTCTCTCTCTCCCCCTCCCCCACTCACATGCATACACTCTCTCTCCAAATAAATAAATAAACTTTATTAAAAAAATGAAAGTAGAGACTGACAAGTCTGATATGTGTTGTGAGGCCACATGTAGCACCCATGGTTGACTTCAAGTTGTTTATCTCCCCCAATGTGATAGGTAAAAAATGATAGATTATTGTAATTTCTGTTCACATTTGTCTTATTTTGAGGTTGAACATTTTTGTTACGAAAAAGTCCAGATATATAAATTATATACAAAATAAAATAAACGTACAGTTTAGAAAATAAATAATATATATGTTTGAAATCTGCTGTATGGTATTTCCCAACTGCATAGTATATCCTTTTTTTTTTTAAGCTTATTTATTTATCTTGAGAGAGTGTGAGCAG